TGTATCCGGGATCTCGTTCTTTCGGTCATGACCATAGATGAGGGTAGGAACATAGATCGACCGGTAAATCGAGAGCTTTGCTTTTTGGCTCAGCTCTTTCTTCACCACAACAGACCGGTTCAGCACCCGCTTCACAGCAGACGCTGCACCAATCCGCCTGTAGATTTCCTGCTCCGTCTTCCCCTCATTTGTGAACAAGACCCCAAGATACTTAAATTCCTCCACTAGGGGTACTATATCCTCCCTAATCCCAAGAAGGCACTCTACCCTTTTCCGGCTCAAGACCATGGTCTCGGATTTGGAGGCACTGATCCTCATTCCGGCGGTTGCACACGTGAGAGCTGTAGATCACACCCTGATGAAGCCAATAGAACCACATCATCTGGGAATAACAGAGGCATTATCCTAAGGCAACCAAAACAGATAGCCTCAACACCTTGGCTGTGCCTAGAAATTCTGTCTATAAAAGTTATGAACAGAATCGGTGACAAAGGGCAACCTTGGCAGAATCCTACCCTCAACGGAAACGACTCCGACTGAATGCAGGCAATACGGACCAGACTCTGACTGTTCCGTACTGCCGGCCCTCATTAAAGGGCCCGGTACTCCATACTCCGGGAGTACCCCCACAGAATCCCAAAGGGACACGGTCGAATGCCTTCTCCAGATCCACAAAACTCCCATGCACCCTCCAAAATCCTGTTGAGGGTGTAGAGCTGATCCAGTGTTCCACGGCAAGGACGAAAACCACACTGATCCTCCTGAATCTGAGATTCGACTATCCGATGGACCCTCCTTACCAGGGAGGTTTAAGTGTGTGATTCCTCTGTAATATGAACACATCCTCCGGTCCCCTTTTTAAAGTAGGGGGACCACTACCCCAATCTGCCAATCCAGGGAAACTGCCTCCAATCTAAAAACATAGTTTAACCTTTCGATAAGGCTGGAATCCATGGATGACTGCTTATTTATAAACATGTATGCTGTAATGATGTGAGGTTGTGGCATACTGGAGTTGTATAAAATGCTTCTTTAACTATGATTCGGGGCCAAATTCAACAAGAAGCGAGCCCAGTTGGCAAGCGCTGCCTTCTGTAACTCAAAGCAAATTATCTGGGCTGATCAAGATTGCAATTTATGTCAAAATCTGTTGCCACGTGTCATGGTTTTTAATACATATACATTATAAACTTTTATTTAAAGAATTTGTGACAAGTGATCAATGCTCAGGAAAAGAACCTGGGAGAAAAAGCTTCAAGGTGTAAACACAGAGCTTTTACAGGCATTAATCTCTATATTTGTCTTTTCAAATGCACGTTTCTGTTCAACAGGTATTGGTATCAGTAATGGGGAACGCTGGCGTCAGCTGCGCCGCTTCACTCTGACAACTTTACGAGATTTTGGGATGGGACGTAAAGGGATGGAGGAGTGGATCCAGGAAGAAAGCCAACATCTCAGGGTTCGCTTACACGAGTACAAAGGTGTAATGTCAACACTTTTTTTGCATTTATTTATCTTGGCTTAAGGTGGTTAAAAAGAATCATATTTATACATTTTTACATTTGAAATTGCCTTCTTTCTACTCTTTAATCAACATAAATATAGTTTTACTTAACAATAACAAGAGACATCTGTAATGTTTCTTAAAAGATAAATGTAAAGTTGGATTAGGCTAGAGTTACATAACCCTCAAAAAGAAGATAACCACGATTAGAGTTTACATGATTAGAGCGATCCAGGTTTTTTAAAGGCCTTTTCCCAATAGTGATTATTTTGATAATAGCCTTATTTCTGGGCCAATACTTGATGCTGATATGGCTCTTCCTATTTCCATATAGATGAAAAAAGAAACACAAAAAACAAGAAAAAGAATAAATATTAGTTAATAAGTTGCACAAAACATTAGCAATGAATACTAGATAGAGGGATCAGCAGTGCATGGGCTTCACTTGATACCAAGTCAGGGCTTTTGAATGCACTAATGTGCAAGCCATCGCATGCAAACATCAGTTGGATCTGAACACAAAAAACAAGGGCTAAAATATTAGCCAAAAATATTAATGTTTGCCCTCTGGCAGGGTTGTTCTAACATTGTAACTTGGGTCCACATTGGAGGGCAACAAATTACATCCAAAACTCAACATTAAAGGTACAACGGAAGATATTCTTTTTTCGAAGGGATCATCAATCTCGGGAGCAGGTACAGGGTTGTGCATGTGCTTTTTCTGGAGTGGAGAGGGCAGGTCTCTCATGAAAATCCTCCACTGTATCTTTAAAGGCCTGATCTTCAAATATTTCAAATTATGGGCCATAATTTAGGAAACAAATTGTGTGCATGTTTTGGGTAGTTTTGTATGAACTCCAAAGATTGCTCCAGAGAAAGTTAAGAAGTGCAAACCTTTGTTTCCGCCCTATTAGAATTAGGAGACTGCGTAGAGAGATTCTGCTAGCAGTTTCAGAGTCGCTGTAAAAGAAAGGCGAGGTTCTACGTAATGTCGTGGATGGTAATGATAATTATATAAAGAGCACAAATAATGATACTAAATATTATTTATCGTTCACTTTGCATACTGTAAGTATCTTAAAATGCTGGATGTTAACTGACTTGAATTAATGTGTTTTTCAAGTCAACGGACTCCAAAGTGCTTTCTGCTGTCATTCAGCCATTCACACTCATTCACACGCTGAGGATGATGACATACAGACAGACATACTTAGTTTAGATGCAAAAACTACATCTGCAATCTCTTTGAGGTTTAAGAAATCTCTTTGGATGCAGTATTGACCTTTTCCATTAATTTAGAATAGAATTAAACTGTCACAAGTACACAGCAATGGAATTAACTCTAAATTTAACCCATCCCCTAGGGGAGCAGTGGGCTGCCATTGTGCTGTGTACAGGAGCAGTCTGGGGTTAAGGGTCTTGCTCAGGGACCCAGATTGGCTGTCCGTGGAAGTAGGTATTGAACTCAGAACCCTAGGGATCCAAGCGCAAGGCCCTAACCAACAGGCCACCACTCCCCTGATTTAATTTGAGCATTTTGGTCACTAGAGTATTATCTACAATGATAAGTGCACATACACACACACACACACACACACACACACACACACACACAAAAACATTTGCATGTGCTGCATTGCCAAGTTGAACATGTAAATCTTTTTGCACCTTCTTTGGAGTGCTGCTGTAAGTTAATGGGTTTTTTAATACGCGCAATTATCTTGAAGATCAGGTCCTTTAGAGTGCAAAAAAACAGCAGGAGCACCAGCTCAGATCTGAAATGTTCTGTTCTGCTGCAGAATGGACTAAAAAACATTCAACATGTTTCAGCATGTCAAATCAGTAATTCAGTCTGTTACTTCACTATATATAGGTATATATACAGTATATATAGTAAGGTTTAACTGTAGGTTAGTAATATAGAGAATACTGAATCAGATGCAAAATAGGATTAAAATAAAGTTGTAAATAAGCATAAATTAATCATTTATTTTAATGCTGACGAGTAATAATGATCTATTCTAATCCTGACACACAGCATTTTGCAACATGAAGTCACTTGCTGTTATAAACTGTTTTCTTTTTGTGTGTGTGATAAACTATGCAAATTCAGCAACTGCTTGAAAAGACATGCACTGCTTTAAAAATCCTAGAGCAGTTAAAACTTATACATTTAAGCTTCCCCCCTTTGTTTCTTAGGGAAATCCTTGTTAAACAAGTTTGACGGGTTCTTGTTTTTGCCACCAGGCGAACCTTTCAATCCTACATTCCTTATGAACCGCACCGTGTCAAACGTGATCTGCTGCCTTGTGTTTGGACAACGCTTCAGTTATGAAGACAAGCAGTTTCAGAACCTCCTCGGTGTCCTGGTTAAGATGGTCAAATTAAATAGCAGCCCTTTGGGTGCAGTAAGTAAATATTCTTTTGAACCTGTTTTGCAATAAAATGTGAATGATGGCTCCTAAAAGTGGAATCCCTCAATGATACATTGGTTTGAACCTTTTTTCAGTTATACTTTGATGAATATTCTACTATCTAGCTAAAAAGGAAACAAATTTATCAGTAAAATCAAAACATAAAAAAATTCAGATAAACTAAAATCAAAAGATGGCTGCAAGGTAGCACCGTTTGTAGTGCTTGCAGCAAGAAGGGCCTGACTTTGGTTCCCTGCCCAGGGCCTCTCTGCATGTAGTTTTGCATGTTATCCCTGTGCATGAGTGGGTTCTGTCTGGGTACTCCTGCTTCCAGGATAGACGGGTGAATGATTTAAAAAGGGTGCACTCAGAAGAATGCTATTTACTGTTCCTCTTTTCCTTGATTTTCCTGCTTTCCAGTGCTGCTTTTCCTTGTTTCCTTTTTCTATATAACCAATAACTTTTTCATACTATGTGTCTCTTAAGTGTCATTCTGCACTTTGGTCTAAAAAATGTAAAACTGTTTTAAACTAAGATATCTTTAACTGTGTCTACAAATTACCCAGTTCCACCTGATGGTATTTAATCCCACACCAGAATGCCTCCACCACCATGTTTGCTTCTTTTGGGAGACATTAGGAGTCAGGCCTTGATTAATTATTTTAATGTTTTTGGACTTTTTTTGTCTGATGCAGAAGAAAATGCCGAACTTCTTGCAGTGATGCTGTCCTGAGAGGCCGACACAAATACAGAAATGTATCATTAGCAATAACAGCTTACAACTCTAACTTTCTTTTCTGATTTATACCTTGATAGAAAAACAAATATCTGCAAACTATAAATTGGACTAAATAATGTGAATGTTTAATGAATCTACAGGACAGATGAGCTTTATTCCAGTTTAATCAGACTCTTAATATTTGACATTTTAGAAGATTAAATGCTGAAATTAAACATATTTTTTCAGTTTTAGTTAAATATTTGCACAGTTATGCAATAATGTTATCATTTATTTATTCGAGAGCAATAGTCATCTATAAAACTAAAACCAATCGGATAAACTGTTGAGTACAATTCTAGATAATGCTAGATAATTATGTTCTGGGAAACGAAATGCTCCTTTTTTTCCACAGTTGTACAACATCTTCCCTTCAATCATGGAAAGGCTTCCCGGACCACACCAGACCGTCTTTGCCGGGATTGAAGAGATCAGAGATTTCGTCAGGATCAAGATCGATGAGCACAAAGCTACGCTGGATCCGAGCTCACCCAGAGATTTTATCGACTGCTTCCTTATTCGAGCTGATCAGGTTGTTAAAATTATGAACTTTCCCTGTAAGCTAAAAGTTAACTGGATCATTTTACCTTTACTTCTTACATTGCAAGGAGAAAATTCTCTTTGTAAATGAAAAAGTTTAAAGAGAAAATTGGGAAGTGTCCTTAATTAATGTAAACTTTAACCACTGTGTTATATGTTTTATTTACTTTGTATAAGTCTAGATATATCTTTGTAATCACAACCAATAAGGCAGTTATGAATTTAAGAAGTTGTTCAAAACTAGTTATAAAGCAGGACACAGGTTTTGCATTCCAAAAAAATTGTCTAAATTTTGATCCAAATAATTGTTCTTTTTTATTTCATTGCTGAATTAAGCAGCTATTGTTGGAAAGATTTGTACTTCTAGGGTTAAGAGCCTTTCAAATACTGACTGATTTCTTCTCCACTTTTTTTTAACTAAACGTTATTTACAACATAAATAATTCCTGTTATGTTTAATTAAATTTTTTTAATATCCTTTTCCATTCTCAGGAAAAAGATAATCCGTCCACTGAGTTCCACTATGATAACCTGTTTGCAACAGTGATGAACTTGTTTGTGGCAGGAACCGAGACCACCAGCTCCACCATCAGATATGCTCTCAGTGTTCTGATGAAACACAAGGACATACAGGGTGTGTGGTCAGTTTTTTATTAGAGCTGCCTGTTACAACAGAAACTTTTATAAGCCTCCATTTGTGTTTGACTGCAGAAAAAATTCAGGAGGAGATTGACACTGTGATTGGAAGAGCTCGGTGTCCCAGCATGGAGGACAGGAAATCTCTCCCGTTCACAGATGCCTTCATTCATGAAGTTCAGCGTTTTCTGGACATCGTCCCCTTCAGTCTACCTCATTACGCCCTAGAGGACATTTCATTTAGGGGTTACACAATCCCTAAGGTATTTTCTGTTCAAACAGGTTGAGAAAAATAGGGTTCAACATGCTAAGGTTCTTCTCTATGTTTGTGATTCATTTATAACTAAGGTATTCCTGGCATTAAAAGTTTGTCCAGAAATATGTTAAATGTTACAGTAGCAGCCATTCAAAATGGCCCTTCCCAGTCAAACACTAGCCGAATGACCCGCCCCACTTCTCTGCAACTCCCAGCAAAATTCCCTGTAACTTCCAGCCACTTGAGTGACTCCCTCCTTCTCCTTGGCGTGCATATTTTTTTTAACTCTGACTCCGCCCTTTTCACTGAATTACAGGGTCTGAGCAGGAGTTGGCTCTTCTCTTCAGCTCTTAATGTCCACAAATCATGACAGAAAGAATATTTTAGTACAAAGATTGATGTTTAAAAAGGAATTGTAGGAGGCCAGCCAAGGGCCCATCAAGGAAAGTGGAGAAATTTTGAATGGCTGCTACTGTACACATCAAAGCTCATTCATTCATTTCATTAGTAATAACAACTTAAAGATGTCTCCATGCCTTTCCACTTATTAGTATTTCAACCTAGGTTTTCTTTCTGGTTGCAATCCTGAAGCAAACTTTACTATTCCTGAATACTGCCTTTTGTACTGCGTCTAAAAAGTTGTGTCTTTGTAGGGAACGTCCATTATACCCTTGCTGCACTCAGTCCTTAAAGATGAGAGCAAATGGGAGACTCCCTTCACCTTCAACCCTAAGCACTTTCTGGACCATAATGGCAACTTTAAGAAGAATCCAGCATTCTTTCCTTTTTCTGCGGGTAAAGGCATCATTTCAAAAGAAAGTACAATCAATTTGTATGCGCAATATCACAGTTTTATGCTTGCTTGTATCTCTTTACAGGGAAAAGATCCTGCGTTGGCGAGTCTCTGGCTCGTATGGAGCTCTTCATCTTCTTGGTGACGCTCCTGCAGGAATTCAACATTTCCTCTCCTGGGGATCCCGATAGCATTGACCTCATTCCAGAATACAGCAGCTTTGGCAACGTGCCTCATTGTTATGATACCATTGCGACACCTCGGTGAAAGGCCAAAGATGCCCCGGGAGAGCATGATAATGATTCAAAAACTTTAAAAAGTGTGTGTTCCAGCAAACGCTTGGTGGACCCAACCATACCCAATAGACGCAGTTAAAGTCCCTCCTTTCATGTAGGAAATGTGCCCCACCCAAACGTAGAACAAACTAACTAAAGAGCTCTTTTCTCCTAGCAGTCATTTTAAATAGAGGAGTCAGGAGAATTGATTAAATTTCATTTCTGTTTAAGCTTTAGTTTATATTTTTTTATATAAATATATATCGCAGATTGGTGAAGTTTTACCTTAATCAATTTGCTTCTTATCCTCCTGTCTTCTTGATTATTACTTATAGGATGGTTGCTTCTACTGCTTACTAAAAAAAAGTTACCCTCTGATGACCTACTGTAATAATTTGTTGTAGGGCCTAAAACTCAGCATTGCTGTCATTTACTATGCAATGTTTGCTTCAGTTATTATTGGTTAATAGAAAACCCAGAGCTCTTGATAACCTGGACTCGGACTTCTTCAATTTTAAATAAAAAAGCATTTTACCCAAACAGGCCTGATGCTTGAAAAAACACAGTGGATGCAATGTGGTTAAAAAAACAACTGTTCTTTACACTACATGAGCATATAAAGATGTTGTAAATGTACTATTGATTTTTTTTTGGGGTCTATATTTGTGTTTCACTACTTTGAGCGATGTAGGCCTACTGTATTTTTCAAAGATGTCCATTGTGATTGTCAGTCATAAATTTCTCATCAGAATGCAGGATTTTACGACACATTAATAGAGGGGGGTTATTTCTCCTCTTGATGCATAGGAACATTGCAGAGGGGATGTCATTTCCTTTTCATTCAAGCAGCATTCCAGAGCTCAGCATGACATTCCGGGGATTGTCCGCTCTATTTGCAGCTCTAGGTGTTCACACATCTGATATTTACATTTCTGTAGGTTTTAATGTTTTTATTGCAAATCCACAAAATATGAGGTGTTAAAGCTCAATCTTAACCTCACAAGATATGCACACATTCATTCATTTCCTGTACCTGCTTAATTCTTACAGGGTTATGTGGCTTCTGGGCTGCTTAGTTTTACTTTTATTAATAAAGGAACTGTAAGGAAGCTGATAAAGACGGAAACCATATTGTTTGATGAAACATAAACTTGACAACAACAAGGGAAAACCACACAAATCCAGCCAAAGAGTAACCTGGGGGTTCTAAAAATTCACAACATCTGTTTTTAAATTAGTTTGATTTACGCCAAAAAAATGAATATTTAACATATTAGATATGAGGAATCTGATAGAAACACTCACCTTCTTCTGGAACCCATTGGTTAATAATAAATTGGTCACCTGTTCTTATCCCTATTGTCTACTATTACTCTCTGTTTTAAGTAATATAACTTGATCAATCCTTTCCTAATATGCCACAATAAAGGTATGTATTATTTGTGCTACGTAATATTTGATTGGGCCAAAATCGTATTGGTAAGGACCCAAAGCTGCAATATCCATATCATATTGTTAAATGTTGTGTCAGGGAAATCCTTAGATTTAGTTTTTTAATCATATATTTGTCAATGTATGGGCAAAAAAAAAATATGAATATTTTACTTTTTGTATCAACTTCCATTAAAAAAGGGAAATTAAACAAAGATTTTTACTTTGTGTGAAACTTTTTAGCAAATGTGAAGCATTTGGAGACATGAAAACTGCTGGTTAACAGGAACTCAGAGATACTAATAATGAGATGTCTTTTGATAAGTTCCAGGTGAGGGGATCCTGTCAAATTGTCTGCCCTGTTTTCTGGTTGAACAAAAGGGATCCAATAACTTAGAGAGAGTATTGGCTCTTACAGCTGTTTTTTCTAACCCAATCTAACTTAAATCTGTCAAAACATTTAACAGATAAATCACAATTATTTTTTATTGTTTTAAATTCTATACATTTATGCCACACAAGAAAAACACCAAATTTCCTTTAACTGCTTTTACTGTGGTCTTGTATCTTGCTTTACACCACATGTACACCGTAGAACTGATTAAACATATAGAGTATAAACACAATATTAGTTTACTTGCTGCAACAAAATATACAAGTGTGTTATTTCTGTTATTTCAGAAATTTAATAAAATAGCAGAAACTTAATTAAACTTAGCAAATTAAATAGTAAAAAAAAAAAAACTTGAATCTTATCTGGTTGAAGACAAAAAGGAGTAGCTTAAGGATAGGAATTGACATTTTGAATATGTGAAATTAGTATTAAAGTGTGAAATCATATGTGGAAATGTCAAGACGTAAAAAAAAAAAAATTGAAATGAATTAAAATGTGTCAGTTGATCAGAATAGAGAAAACAGTGTCACCCTTAGAAGCTTCAACAATCCACAAACCTAAGTGCAAGACTGACCATGAGAAGCAGAGGAAGGACAGAGAAGCTTATGGAAAGAGAGATAATAACACTTAAGGACATGAATTTATCAAAAAACTATTTCCCAAGAATTCTTGAGATATTGAAAATCAGATACATTTTAACCAATAAAAGATTTAATAAGCATAGGGAGAGATATATAATGGAGGCAAATTTCATGAAAGAATGAACAAAGTGTTCCCTGTTAAAGGGCCTCCTGGAGCTGCACCAGCTGCAGTTTCAAGTCTCCCCTTACTCTGCCTGCTTAATAAGTGGGAAAGTTATTGCTAAACAAATAGTCATAGATCTGGCATAATACATCGTATCAATGTCATTCTGGCACCGTTTAATTCAGGTCAGATAGGGGAACAAAGCTGTAGGGCTGTTTTTTGTTTTTTTTTATCAAAATGTTTTTCAAAAGACACAGCACTGTGTGAAAAAGAGGGACATTTTGGAAACTTGAAAAATGGGCAAAAGATGGTGTTGAACTAGGGTTAATAAAAAATAAAAAAAATAATAGATAGAGAAATATATTTTATACCATAGGAATCAGAGGGCTTTGATGAACAATTATACCAACTTTTATGTTGCTACACAATATTATGTGGACGTGGTGATGATTTAAAAATGTCAGCCTGAGGCTTTCTCACAGAATGACAATGTTGATGCCCCCAACAAAACAGCTCTATGGCAAAACCGTAAAGGATATTGAAAAAATCCTTCAAAAGGAGAATTGGGAAGGCCTGACAGTGATCAGTATTAAGTCTCAAGTCTGTACATGAAATGGGTAAGGAGAGGCAACGACTTCAATACAACTGTTGTTTAGCTGTTTGAAGCCTGGCTCCACTGCCTTTACTAAATGGAGGAATTGGTGCTGAACAAATGCTTATATCTCTGGCATAATATATTGTATAAATGTCATTCTTATATCAATCTTTTCAGAACGGATAGGGGAACAAGGTTTTATGTCTCTTTTTGTTGAAAATGATGCAGGACTCTGTGGAAAAAGAGGAAAATTAAAAAATCTGAAAAAGGGGCAAAATCAATGTAAAACTGTGCTTAACAAATCAAAAAGTATGAAAGATAGAGACATTATTTTACTATATAAATCAGTAGGCTTTGGTGTACAAGTATGGTAACTTTCATGTTTCTACAAAAATGTATGTTGCCTTGGTGACCATGTCAATTAGTGGGTCATTTTCAGGAACTGAATTTTGAGCGATTGAGGGATTTGTTTACTCCTAAACAAAGCTTCGTCCAGGCCAAACGATAAAAGATATCGATAAAATTGCTTCAGTGTGATTGGTAGGAAGATAAACTTCCACAAGGCTCATGTTTGTACATCGTACGGTTTGCGAACAGGTACTGTTTGACATTTACAATTCTGTTTTTTTATAGTGCATTTTTAAGTGCATACAGGTTGATCCAGCTTTGAGGTAATGTCTTTAAAACAGTCAAAATTTGGCTCAGTATTGTGTGCTGCCCCCATGTGCCTATATGTCCTCCTACAATGCCTGGGCATGGTCCTGATGAGGTGGCAGATGGTCACCTGAGTAATCTGCTCCCACCCCTGGAGTAAAGCCTCCGTCAACTCCTGGTTAGTCTGTGGTGCAACGTGAAGTTGGTGGATGGATTGAGACATGATGTCCCAGATGCTCTTAATCGGATTCAGGTCTGGGGAATGGGAGGGCTAGTTCTTTGCTTTAATGCTTTTGTCTTGCAGGAACTGCTAGTACACTCCAGCCACATGATGTCAAACATTGTCCTATATAAAGAAGAACCCAGGGCTAACGACACCAGGTCTCACAACGGGTCTGAGGATCTCATCTCGGGACATGATGGCCTAACCCTAATGGCTACCCCTGGCAAGGGCTGTGCGGCCCTCCAGAGAAACGCCACCCCACATTACTGAACCACTGCCAAACCAGTCATGTTGAAGGATGTTGCAGGCAGAAAATTGCTCTGCATGTCTGTCGCATGTGCCCAGGGTGAACCTGCTTCAATCTATGAAGAGCAAAGGGCCTCAGTGGCGAATTTGCCAATCCTGGTGTTCTTTGTCAAGTGTTCTGCACGGTGTTGGGCTGTGAGCACAACCTCCATCTATGGATGTCGGGCTCTCACACCATTTTAATGGAGTCAGTATCTAACCATTTGTGCAGACACATGCACATTTGTGGACTGCTGGAGGTAATTTTGCAGGGCTCTGTTGGGCAACAACCCAGCAGCAGGCTGGCTTGTTACTCAGTCATTCGAGTCGGGTGTATTGCACCAAGGATAGAGCTAAAAGGAATCGTTACAAATTAAGGAAACCTGGGAAGCAGCAAAGATATATGGTAAGGTCCATAGCTTTGGCTTTAGAAAGGTAAAAAAAAAAAGTACCAACAAGAGAAAAGGAGCCCTAGGGAGGTGAGAAGCATACAACACATTCTTAACACTTTGGCAAAGAGGGACTGACAGTAGACTCCTTAAAAAAAACCCTCCTTGATATTGCATTGAGGAACACCTGTAAATATTGGCCACCTGTGATTTTCCAGCTCCACCTAGAGGAGAAAACTAGAAGCAGCAGGCAGAAATGGAGACAGAATGTTCATTCAATTTGTATTTATCTGACAGTGTTTATTATTCTCCCACTAAATGAA